GAGAGAGAGAGAGGGAGAGAGAAAGAGAGAGAGAGAGAGAGTGTGCGCGCGCGCGCGCGCGTGCGCGTGCCTCATGGGCGGGAGGGGCAGCTTCCAGGGAAGGGATGCGCATTGGGGTGGGGAAGGAAAAGAAAGAGTAGAGCAAGGCTGAGCAGGACTTGATCTGAACCTGCGGGGTGTCTGGGTGGAAGAAGAAAGGCCAAGGGGAGGTGCAGCTCTGGCCGCCCAGCCTCCCTGGGGGGTGGGAGGAAAGGGATGTGAGCCGAATGCTAAGGAGAGGGGGGTGGGGTGAGATGGGGGAAGGGCTGAAAGGAGGCTTGGAGGAGGAGAAAAGCAAAACCCTGGTGTTTTGCTTCAGACTCAGCTAGAGATCCTAATTAGCGCATCCTAGAACTGGGCTGGGGCTGGTGGGCCATTTCAGTGAGCACTAGGAGAAGGGGGACAGGCACACAGGAAGACACTGGCTCTTAAAGATAAAGGGATTGCAGAGATTGTTGGAACTAGGGCCAGTAGGGGCAAGATTGTCCCTTTACTTGTACCTTAGGAGGGGGTCCCCATCCTTTCAGAGGAGGAAGGATGAAATGCAGAGGTTCACTGGCTCAGAGAGATCTTTAAGGTTCCTTATAGCTCTAAATCCAATTAGATTCTATTATTCCCTTTGGGGAAGGATCACCCTTCTGGCACCAATTCAGTAGTTTAAAATTTAATTTATATTTTGACCTGGACTCAAAGACTTCTGGGCTGGGTTCTATCATTTAGTACCTGATAAGTCCCTTGGATAAATCACTTCCCTTCTCTGGGATTCATTTTCTTCCTCTCTAAAATGAAGAGGTTGAACTAGGTGGTCCTTCTAGCTCTAAAAGTTAGATTCTATGAATTCCTCTCCTTCATTGCCTGGGAAAGTGCTGGTTCTGAAGTCAAAGGCCCTGGATTCAAATTCTGCTTAGTATCTGCGAGATCTTGGACAAATCACTGTGCCTGCCTGAGCCTCAGTTTCCTCCTCTGTAAAATGGGGATTAAAGAGGAATTGGACTAGTGTTCCCTGAGGTGCTTTTCAGCCCCAGATCTATGATACTGTGATTGCCTTTCCAATATTGAGACCATGTAGTGCTTCCACCACTAAACTGCAGGATTACCAGGCTGGAAAGCATGCCATTGAGTTTACCACAGCTCAGCAACACGCTATTCAGCTCCCAGCGTTCTCCCACACCTTTACTAATATGTTAGTTACATGCATCTTTGACATCTTCTCTTCAAGTCCAGCTACACTACAGACTCTGCAAAGTCACATAGTAAATTGGTGGAAGAGCAAGGGCTCTTTCTAGGCTAATCACAAGATTCCCTTTCATGAACTCTCTGATCCAGCTCAACTGGCCTCCAGGCTATTCCTTATCTATACATTGCACTTCCACTAGGGCCTTAGTGCCTACTGTTTTCCAGCACTTGAAACCCCTGGCTTCCCTTCAAGGTTCAAGTTATTCATCTCGTCTTTTAAGGACCTTTCCTGATTGCCCTAGTGGTTAGTACCTCCCACTCAGATTACAAACTTTATATTTATTTTTCAACTATCTCATATTTCTCTCTGAACATGTTGTATTCCTCTTCCCCTCTCACCAGTAGAATGGAATCTCCTTCAGGGCAGGGATTTTGCGCTCTCTCTCTCTCTCTCTCCTCCCTCCCTCTTCTTTTCCCTCTCCCTGTCTTTTCCCTCCCTTTCCCTTTTCCTTCCTCTCACCCTCCTTTTCCTCTCCCTCTCTCTCTGTCTCTTTCTGTCTTTATCTCTCTCTGTATCCCCAAGGCCTAGCCAAGTGCCTGGAATATAGGTGCTTAATGAATTGTACTCAGTTGAATTGAAACTTGAGGTCTTAGTCTGACCCGAAGAAGGCCACAGGGCTCCTCTCAGATAACAGAAGACACAGCTCTGGAAATGGTGTATCAAGTGCAATAGTTGTGCTTCCTTTATCTCTTGAAGTCCAAGTCTGTAGAGAAAGCACTCCTCTGCAGGGTTTGGGTGGCCTCACTGACTGAGAAGCAGTGTCGTATCTTGGAAACAGTGCTGGACTTCAATTCAGTGATTTAGGTAGTGACAGTCTCACCTGTAAAAAAAAAAAAATTATGCTTACAATATCTACATCCCAGGATTACTGTGGGAGAATTGCTTTCTAAACCTTAAAAGCATGAAATGAGTATGTTTTTGTTATTGTTATTCTCATGTTATTATTCTTATTGATTGTGGCATAAGAGCAACCCTCACATAAAACATCAGCAATGGGTCTCTGACTTCCCCGGGGCTCAGACCTCAAGTGTATTTTAGGCCAGACTCAGAACTCAGGAAGCCCTACTGGTTTAAAAAATGGCAAACTGAGGCGGAACAAGCTTTCTTGGTTGTACCGCTGTGGAACAGGGTGAGGTGACTCCCTCAAAAGGACCAATTTACGAGGCAGAATGAGTATCTGTGTCTCAGGCTACTGCTGCTTCCTCTTTCCACTTCCCATCCTCAATATCTCCCAAAGGGTCAAGTTTGTCTGTGGGTAAAGTTTGTCTTTGTCAGTTCCCACTGTCCTTATTAAGAGACCTCTCCTTTCTCCCTGATTTAATTTTTCTACTATCATTCCCATCCCCTACTTTCCAGAGCATATTCCCAGTCCTCCCTGCTGAAGTATGAGCTGATAGCCACTAAAAGTATGACCCACTCCCAGGGGTATTTGTTTTTTCAGAACCACAGAATGTAGGAGTTAGAATTACAAAATCATAGCATTAAACAAGAAGAGAACTTAGAAATCACCCGCAGGCTTTAGGCATGTAATAAATGTTTAGAGAATGAACCTAATCCAAACTTCATTTTACAGATATGGAATCTGAGGATCAGGGTGAGTGGACTTGTTAGTGGGAAAGCTAGGTCTAAAGAGTCTTCTGACTCCGAGTCCAGTGTTCTTTACCTACATTATCTCAAGGTCATTAGGGATCCATTAATACAACATCTAATTTTATAAAGGAGAGATACTGAGGTCCAAAGAGAGAAAGTAACGTTCCCAAGAACTTCCAGTATTAGGAAATAAAGTATACATCTTAGAAAATAGAAAAGCCTTCAGTTCCATATAATATGGAATTCTAACTGTGGAATGACAAGCAGCAAGGTGGATTATTTGGAATAGGGGGCTCTGCTCAGTTCCCCTCCAATTACAATATGACAACCTGGCCCTGCCTTGGCACAACTGATTCCTTGGGTAGTCCTCCTAACCTGCCTCCAGACTCCATTAGCCTCTGTCTCTCCCAGAACATGAATTTTCTATATCAACCATTGTCCCATAAGACAAGGAGACAGGCATGGATATAGTGGGTGTTTGTTTTTGTTTTTTTTTAACCAAATGACTTCAGTACCATATTAGCTTTTGCTCTAAGTGAGGTATCAGCAGGAGATTATGGGGAGAGACAGACAATGTGGGTAGCAACAGATAGATGTGTTACTGCTAATCACTTATAACTTAGAGAATTCTTTTTTTAAACAAAGTCGTGTTGCTACAGTGAAACTGGAGAGAAAGCAAGGCCATTGCTCATTGGCTCAACCCTGGGTCCAGGGTGGAGATCTAGGCAAAGGGAGGCTGCTCCATTGACTGGATGAATCCCTTCCCCCCTTTTCCGCATTCTCTCCCCATACACCCCCCCCCAAACTGGGC